ACCCTTAATATCTAGGTTCATTATGTCAACACTACTTATTAATATAATACTACTAAATACTTTTCGGTACTCGTTGTCTATCAACTATCTATATATATATATTTGTAATTATAATTGTAATGACTGTTTGTACCAAAATAAAAAAAAAATTATTTATTAAAACTTTAATGCACAGATACACAAAGGTGCATATAGCGGACTTAACACTTAGAGGCATTTTCTCCCAGTCAACCACAGGGCAAACAGAGATTCATGTGGGCGGTGCATTATGATTAACATATAATACACTAGCTTTTGCCCGCGGCTTCGCTCGCGTTAATTTATCCCCTTAGGGGTGGAATTTATCAAAATCCTTTCTTAGGGGATGCCTACGTCATAGTAGCTTTATGCATGCAAAGTCTCAGCCCGATCGGTTTAAAATTGACAAAGTTTCATACAAACTTCATCTCCTATTTTATCCCCTTGGGGGTAGAATTAATCAAAATCCTTTCTTAGCGGATGCCTACGTCATAACATCTATCTGCATGCCAAATTTCAGCCCGATCCGTCCAGTGGTTTGGGCTGTGCGTTGATAGATCACTATGTCAGTCACCTTTTAGTTATATATATTTATATTTTGTATTATATATACTTATACTGGCTATATGTTGTTTTAAATTTGACGAGGAAATTATTTATACGTATCGGGAACTCAGTAAATATATATAAAAAGGGTAAGATACCGTGATTTTTACTAATTATACTTATACTAGCTGTACTCGCAACTTGGTCTGCGTGGAATTTTGCAACATTACTCTATTTTTCTAAAATAAAAGTAGCCTAAGTTACTCCTTATTACATCAGCTACATGCCAATAAAAGTTCCGTCAAATCGGGCCAGCCATGTCAGAGATTAGTCGGAACAAACAGACAGACAGATAAAAATTGTAATTTTGGTGTATGTGCCGTATTTATATTCAAATGCATGTAGTAAAAGACGGTTATTTCAATATAACAAACAGACACTCCAATTTTATTTATATGTATACATTAAAATAATATGTATTTGTATTATGACCACCATGTTACATTAATATCGCCAATATAATTATAGTCATTTAAATACTATTAGGTTGTTCGGAAAGTAATTTAGTTTTTTCCTAACTTAGGATTTAATTGTATTTTTGCACTCAACTTCACACTTAAGCCGTATAATTTTTATATGCTTTGAGAGCTCATATAGCAAGGCTTGTGTGTGAAAAATTACAATTAATTCTACGCAGTAGTTTTTGGTTGGTACCCTTTTAAATATGGAGAGGAATAAGCAGCATTTTCGACATATCTTACTGTTTTACTACAGAAAGGGCAAAAATGCTGTTCAAGCCAGAAAGAAATTGACCGATGTGTGTGGAGAAGGTGTGCTAACAGCACGCCAGTGCCAGTACTGGTTCACTAAATTTCGATCCGGCAATTTTGATGTCGAAAATGCACCACCCTCGGGAAGGCCGGTTGAAGCTGTAAAGGCATTGGTTGATGCAAACCGGCGAATAACAACACTTACAAATCCCAGGCCTTTCAAGTGGTCATAAATTGTTAAATTTGATAAATTTAACCTCAATCAGATCTTACGTGTTGTGTTATTGGCCGGTTTGCATATAAAAATTATTTAAGTGTGAAGTTGAGTGCAAAAAATACAATTAAATCCTAAGTTAGGAATAAACGAAATTACTTTCCGAACAACCTAATATTAAAAATTCAAAATTAAATAAATATTATAATTTTTCCCTACTACTACTACTAAACTGCACGAGTTTAGTATATAGATCAATTGACAAGTACTGACAAGAAACTCAATTGAATTGCTGATTATTTTTAAAAACCAGTTTATTTACAATGTATATTTATATAGGTGTCTATGTCTAATATTAAATGAAAATCCCGTGCATGATCAACTATTGGCAAGCACGCTCGTCGTTCAACTAATCATTTAGTGAGTAAACGGACTAGCAAGCAACTAAAAGCAAACTATACATTGAAAATGTAATGAAATTAAAAATTTAATCTACCTAACTGGCCTAAAATATCCAACAAAGCGTTGGGATGCTGCGAATTTGTTTACAGATCTTAAAATACTAAAATACGTCACGACTTTACGATGCACGCTGTATTGTCTTATTTTGTCTGATGAGCAATCGATTTCGTCATTGTATGCAATCGGTCCCGCCCTTCTATAATTGGTCTGTTGATTGAATGGTGATTGTAACGGTTGTGTGCTAATAAGGCTGGACTGATGACAGCCTGACTATGACTGAACTGACAATTTGAAGGATTTTAATAAGACATGGCGCAATAAGAAACTCGGACAGTATTTTTTTCGATTTCATTGAGAAGAATTGGCAATAAACTCAACGGATTTTTTATAGCCATTTTACATTGTGTAATTATATAGATGTCTATGTCTAACAATGTCTAAGATGAACAACTATTGCCTATTCTATAAAAACGACGTATTACTCTTATTATAAGAGTAATAATTTTACTACAGTAACTGCAGTAACTTAGAATAACTGCATGCACTGATGATGATGATGTCGATGATGTAATTTCGGCCACGGCGACTGTCTTCAACTCCGGTTTTGCCGTTGATGTGCTCGCATGTGACTTATGTAGCCAGTTTTGTTTGTAAAAATCCTCGCACATTGAGAGCACACGCCTCACATAGTTATAGCTGATAGCAGCAGGTGGTCGGGCTTTCAGCTCGTCTCATCTGGCATCCAGCTCAAGGAGCCTCCGGTTTTCAAAGGCTTTGACGGTAGATTTAACAAGCGCTCTCCACACCGGCCGTCTGGCAGCCTGCTGCTCCCACGAAGGATTGATGTCGCACTGCTTCAAGTGTCGCTTCACCACATCTTTGTACCTGAGGAGTTGTCCGGCATGCTTCCGCTTGCCTTCCTCAAGTTCTGAGTAAGGATGCGCTTAGCCGTTCTTCTTTATCCATCATACGCGTCACATGCATGCACTATATAACTAAAGTGAGTAAAAAAGTAGGTGATTACACTAATAAAAGCTTACGTAATGTCAACAAACTAGTTTTACCTAAGTGCCGTTTGACGAAAGTTAGTAATTCGTTTTATGGAAATTGCGTAAGGTTTCGCAACAAACTCCCAGCCTGTACTCAATTTGCCGGAAGAAAAATTCAATTGTGTTATCAAATATTTTCTTTGTACAAAAGCTTATTATAAAATTGAAGAATTTGTAAATGATAATGTTTTTGTAGAAAATATCTAACTTAAAATTCATAGCGCTGACAATGTTTTCTGATTGAACAGAGTTTAAGTGCGTAGCGGTTTCTATGATGATTGTCGCATGCCTAATCCTTATTGTTAATTAAATATAAGTAAATCAATATTTATTTAAAAGAGCAACACACAAGTTTCTTGCTCATTTTTCTTGTGATGAGTCTGCATTCCGAATGAGCGGTAGAATAAAAAAACTTGACTATTCAAGTGCTTATATTAAGTTTATTTGAATAAAGATTTTTTATATTTCTAACTAGTTACTACAATAATTCCAAAGTAACGTACTCGGTACTCAGCATTTATGACTCTAATCCTTTTATAGCGTACTCCAAATGGTCATACAGCTTCACGTAGCGTGGTCAAGGTTTGATCTTGAGCTTGCCTTATGAGGACCGCGATGGCGTAGGAGTTTACTAATGTCTTACGATTGGTCATGCATTCAGTGTTTATATAATAAAAAATATTTAAATTAATATATCCTTTATTACCTATAATACAGGGCATATTTTTAACTATATTTTTACTAATTATTAATAGAATTTATTCACACGATTTAGGGTGTTTATTAGAAAATATATGCTTCAGTTAATTTTAAATATTATTATTTTTACCGAGACATTATAGCCTTCTCATCATCATTGAACAGAGATTAAGTGCGTAGCGGTTTCTATGTTGATTGTCGCATGCCTAATCCTTGTTGTTAATTAAATATAAGTAAATCAATATTTATTTAAAAGAGCAACACACAAGTTTCTTGCTTATTCTTCTTGTGATGAATCTGCATTCCGAATAAGCGGTAGAATAAAAAAACTTGACTATTCAAAAGTGCTTATAGTCGGCGCAGTACGTCATTCTCTACCACTGATCTCTATCGGTCGTCATATCTGAACATACTCTTCTTTTATTCATATCATCTTTCACACAATCCATCCATCTTTTTTTAGGGCGTCCTCTCCCTTTTCTTCCCTATCTCTCATAAGATATTAAGATTACATCTATACATATAAATAAAATTGGAGTGTCTGTTTGTAGTATTGGAATAACCGTTTTTAACTACATGCATATGAATATAAATGCGGTACATACACCAAAAAACATTTTTTACAATTTTCCTCCGTCTCTCGGTCTGTTTGTTCGGGCTAATCTCTGAAATGGCTGGACCGATTTTGATTGGACTTTTTGGCAGCTAGCTGATGTAATACGGAGTAACTTAGGCTACTTTTATTTTGGAAAAATAAAGTTAAATTCCACGCGGACGAAGTCGCGGGTAGCTAGTACAGTAGCTAGACAGCTAGTAGAAAATAAACTATGAACTCCTTCATTGTGGAAAACATATTGCTACAATACTGAATTCAAACACAATACAAAAAAAGTATTAATTAATTAAACCGAGGAGAATTTGTATTGTATAGTGGGTGGTACCTCTACCTATTTCAGCCGCTAATCAGCTCGTTTCTTGGTCTATGTTTCTTAATGGATTTATATTATTTTGTTTAATTCCTCTACCTAGCATGTGTAAGACCAAAATGTTCAGTGCGGATCTGACCACGGCTGCTGGAAGGGTCACGACCTTCTCTGTTGGTGATCAAATTCCGACCGCCCCTACATTACGACCTTCACCTCTATTGGTGATCAAATTTCGACCGTTCCGCCAAGTCCTGACCGAGCTACGAAGATGCATAATCTTGTATCTGAAAATTAATGTGGTTTTTTTATTGTACAGATGAGGACGAGGCGACGACGTCTGGCGTGACTGATGGAGTCCCCGGTGAACAGCAGAACCGGGTCATCTTTATGAACAGCCAGCAGCCGATCAAGTTCGTCTCTAACAGGATATCCACTGCCAAGTATAGGTGAGGGTTTTTTTTATGGATGACAATGGAATGGTGCACCCGTCTGCGCTAACGGTTTACGCAGCGGGGCACCAGTGGAGAATGATAAGATGAGCATGAGGTCAGGTCAGTTAGCCCATCGGGACAAATTCACCAAGAATTTAACAGGGTTTGCAGGGAGAACCGCGTGGAGGTCAACCTAACATGGTATTTTGCTAGCAATGGGGCTAGCTAGACCTCATCAGTAACATTTTTTTTTATTCCCTATAGGTCATGATTATTATAGTAACTTGTATTTGCGACTGATTGAGTAGATTGATAGATGTTGCGGGTAAATGATACGATGTTGTTGGTCGAGACGATGTATATTACAGATGATAATAAACTGACAATATGTACATAGAAATATTGATCATATATACTAAATGACAATAGGAAAATGTAAGGTGGGGTGACACAGTTTAGACACAGTAGTGCTTAGTACACAATATTGAATTTGTCTTACTAGACATTATTGAATGCAATTATTACTTTGATGTATCTAGGTGATTGTGTCCCATAATAGAAATGAAGAGTAGGCTTATGAGCCTATCATAAGGGTAGATAGGCAAACGTTGAGAAAAGTAAATACCTTTATTTATCGTAAAATTATTATTGTCAAGATCCGATTAATTATATTAATAACTAGCTGTGCTACCCTCAACTACTTCGCGTCGCGTGGGATTTTGAATTTAACTTTATTTTTCTAAAATAAAAAGTAGCCTAAATTACTCCTTATTACATCTGCTACCTGCCAAAAAAAAAACCCGGCAAAATCGGTCCAGCCATTTCAGAGATTAGCCAGAACAAACAGATAGACAGACAGACAGACAGATGAAAATTGTAAAAAATGTTATTTTGGTGTATGTACCGTGTTTATATTCAAATGCATGTAGTAAAAAACGGTTATTTCAATATTACAAACAGACTTCCGATGGTCGCGGGTTCGAATACTCGCATGTAGCAAAATTATGCATACATTATTTTGTTGTTTGTATTGGCTGTTAAATGAACATAAACGCTACAACAAACAAAAAAACTTAAAACTGCAATAATTTCAAAAAAGGTTACAGTGCATTCACTATCTGTATCAATATTATTCACTATCACTCGATAAATATATTTATGTGTGGGAAAATTACCATGACTATCGGTATAACGGCGGTTTGTTCATGATTACGACCGTATTGTGACCATTTCAGGTGCTCTCTTATCGCGGTTTGTACCCAAACATTATTATTATTATTATATACTAACTGTTCCCCGCGACTTTGTCCGCGTGGAATGGAACTTTCATTTTCTACAATAAAAGTAGCCTAAGTTACGCCTTATTACATCAGCTACCTGCCAATAAAAGTCCCGTCAAAATCGGTCCAGCCGTTTCAGAAATTAGCCGGAACAAACAGACAGACAGACAAAAGTTGTAAAAAATGTTATTTTGGTGTATGTACCGTATTTATATTCATATGCGTGTAGTAAAAAACGATTATTTCAATATTACAAACAGACACTCCAATTTTATTTATATATATAATATATAAATAAAATTGGAGTGTCTGTTTGTAATATTGAAATAATCGTTTTGCTACTACTACTAGCTAGTCTATATAGACTAGCTACTCGCCCATGTATTATATAGAAGCTATTTTATCGACTAAGTGGTTTCTAAGGACTGTATATATTTTATTTTTAGTTTGAAGTGAAACTAAGTTCGCTGATGGTAAATATATTTCAAATTGACAATAAAAATGGAACAAAGCATAAAATATCTAAAATGTATATATAAAAAAATATAATAAAAGTCTTAAAAGGTGCGTCGCGCACAAGCTACTCGTCCCGACTTCGCCCGGGTGTACACATATTATACATATAAACCTACTCTAGAATCACTCTATCTATTTAAAAAGACCGCTTCAAAATCTGCTGCGTAGTTTTAAAAATTTAAGCGTACATAGGGACAGACAGCGACAGCGACAGGGACAGACAGCGACAGCGACTTTGTTTTATACCATGTAGTGATATTGAAGTATATATAATACACGATCCTATAACATTTTCTAGGTTTGCTGGAAGAAATCTCTTTTTAGAGACAAGCTCGCTATTGTACATTACATTTATTCTGTATAATTTAATTTATTATGTGTGTGCGTACAATAAAGAATAAATAATATATGGATCCTGAGATATAATAATGATGTACCAGAAACTGAAATAACGTTAACGCCATACAGAGTTTATAAGTGCGTGTGACATCAGTGTAAGATGTTGGCGATGTGCCAGGAGTCAGTTAGTACTCGATCTGTTGGCGCGTAAACAAACCGACAGTTATCTAAACAGTAATGGTTCACTGACAAGTATATCTTCAGTTCAGGAGATCAAGTAGTTTGACAAACTCGGTGGTCTAGCGGTCTAGCACACCGGTTTACGACCGATGGTCGCGGGTTCGATTCCTCGCACGGCACAAACATTTGTATTCATGAGTATAATTGTTTGTATCGGTCTGGGTGTTTTCTATGTATGTTATGTATGTATTTACAAAAAATAAACTATTTATGTGCATCAGTTATCTAGTACTCATAACACAGGCTTTAGCTAGCTTGACTTGGATCTAGAGGGCGCTGTGTGAATTGTCCTGAGATTATTATTATTATTAAGTATCATACCGTCAAATTAAATTTAAAAAAATACAACGTCAATTTTAAGAAGCGATATTTTTTTCAAATTCAAAATATCTTCATTCATGCAGGTCTATTAGAGATTCTTATGATATGTCAAATCTACCGTCAGTTCGGAGTGATATCGAGATGAGAAGAACTGACAAGATACTCAGCTCGTATTTTTTTCAAATAATAGTGGAACATGTTTATGCAAAATGTCTATCTCTTATGCTACGTTTACATTCAGCCGATTCCCCTGCCACTCGCGCTGCCAGAAATATTGCCGGGTAACAACTGAGCGAGAAGGCTGAATGTAAAAACACGCGGCCACTCGCGCTGCCAGTCCTTTGACTCGCGCACGAAAAACCGACAATCGAGGGAGCGTCGGGCCACGCGAGTGGCAGCGACAATGGCATGGGAAGTGTTTCCACTCGTGTTTACACTCTCGCGCTGCTCACTTCCCTGCCCACTCGGGCTGAGTGTAAATTGGGCATTAAGGATAACCCACAATAACCATTTTTTATCCTTTACCTTTTACGGGAAAAAATTACTTATTTACGATCCGATCGATCCCCCGTCCAATTCAAACGGGTATCGAAACTACGACGGCCTGAGCCGATGTTCGAACCCCTAGTGGTGCCCTCAGACTAAAGTCGTATCCGACAGGCAGGAGTTGGCCTTTAGCCGCTCCATATGTCCTTCCGCGGGTTTGGAGTGCAATCTGCACTCGCCGCCTAACGTCCGGTGAAGCTGAAAAGGCCAGCTGCGGCCAACAGCATTAGGGTAGTCCGAAAAAAAAAGCTCACTTCCCTGCCCACTCGGGCTGAGTGTAAATTGGACATTAAGGAATAAAAAATGGTTATTGTGGGTTGTCACCAGAACCATTTTTTATCCTTTACATTTTACGGGAAAAAAAGACTTATTTACGAAGTGATTTTAAGCAATTCTGCATGAATTTTTTTCCAATTAAGTAGATAGATAGATAGATATATCGTTTATTTGTTTGTTACTAGTCACACACATAACATGTTCATAAGAATATAAAAATACATAATACAACATAAGATTTATAAAATTGTGTTTTATGTGTGATCTGTAGCAATACAAAAAGGTCGAAGCTCAGCGTGGAACATTGTTCAGGGAACAAAACACTGATTTTCAGCTTCAACCCATTTGAGGGTACGTGAAGTACCTTAAATACATTGTACATTTAATATAGATCAGTATGGTACTCAAATCAATCAAATGAAAATCCTTACTAATGTTATAAATGTGACAGTATGGATGTTTGTTACGCTTTCACGCAATAACTACTAAACCGATCGTCATGAAATTTTGTACACCTGTTCTTGAATTCATCCATTAGAATGAACATAGGATACTTTCATATTGATTCATTTCTATTGTAATGATCTCGGATACTTATGTAATGGATTCTATGCGAGCGAAGCAGCGGATAAAGGCTAGTCTATACATATAAATAAAATTGGAGTGTCTGTTTGTAATATTGAAATAATCATTTTTTACTACATGCATATGAATATAAATACGGTACATATACCAACATAAGATTTTTTACAATTTTTGTCTATCTCTCTGTCCCGGCTAATCTCTGAAATTGGTTGGCCGAGTTTGTCGGTACTTTTTTGGCAGGTAGCTGATTTAATAAGGAGTAACTTGGCTACTTTTTAGAAGGCTACCCTTTAGAGAAATAAAGTTATATTCCACGCGGACGAAGTCGCGAGTACAGCTAGTTCATAATAAAAATTCTGCGAGAATTTGGTTTTGGCGTAAAAATATATTTTGTATACAATTTATATATAGTACATAGTATAGTATATATATAGTAATATATATATATACTAGCTGTACCCGCGACTTCGTCCGCGTAAAATAGTGACCTTGAGCAAATAATAAAAAATATATATTAATAATCTAACCCAATAAAAAAGTTTCATCGTTCTAGCTTCAAAAATGAAATTTCCATACATAATTCCATACAATTCAATCAACAGCCAAAAACTAAGTTTCAAACTACTATCTTTAAAATGAAGATACTTCCATACATACCATACATACATTACATCTCCCCTTTCAACCCCTTATTACCCTTTTTCTTGTTTTTTTTAATGCTACTTATATTAGTGTCATCATGTACCAATGATAAGATGTCGCTATACTGTAACCATTTATGGCTGAGTCCTGTGGCGGTAGGTACTGATATTTTCTCAACAGCCTAAAAAATGGGTTTCAAGTTTCTAGCTTTAAAAAATGACAATACATGCATACAACATTTTAACTCCCCTTTTGACCCTTACAACCCATTTTCGTTAATTATATTTAATCAATACGCAAAAAAATAAGATTGAAGCTTAAACTTTTAAAAATTCCTCTTTCAGTCTCTTATAACCCTTTTTAGCATTAAAAAGTAACCTATGTCCTATCTCAAGATCTAGACTTTAAATTTCATTTAAATCAGTTCAGAAGTTTTGGCTTTTAAGACAGACAGACAGAGTCACTTTCACTTTCATAATATTAGTAAGGTATTTATTAAATAAACTGACCCAAAAAAGCGTAAGAAAAAAGCTTAATCGTTCTAGCTTCAAATATGACGAATTTCCATAAAAACTTTTATCTGCTATTTTATTTTACCCCTTGAATGGTGACCATGTGATATTTACAAATTTAAATGTCATATTTATTTATATTTAATAAACAGTTTAAACATTTCTTTAAATTCTTTTGAAAATTGGTGGTTCAGTTGGCCAATAACATAATAAAATTTTGTTAAATCAAAATAATAGATGTGATAGATAGATATTCTAAATTGCAAACTATCCCTCTACTTGCGAGAACCATATCTCTGACTCTACTGGCCAGAATGGAGAAACGCGTATTCCGAACCTGAATAGCTCGGATGGAACGGTAGATGTTGTTTCTTCCAAGGAAATGTTGTTCATATGTATTGACAACATTTTTAATATTATATGTTGTTTTATTCTTCAAAAATATTAATAATATGTTCTTACGCTCTTGTCCAAGAGCAGGGTCATCAGTTATAGGCTATACCAGGATTATATTTATGTATTTATAAAATAAAATTGCAGAGCAAACGTTTATTCATTTAAATTCATAAGGAGACAACGGATTGACAATAATCAGTTGCGCGCGCAACTTATACAAATGACATATATGTTTATTTATGACATATGAGCGTTAATAAGTCGCATATCTAGTACAATACTGGTGTAATACAGAAATTAAAAATTTTTGAAAATAGACTTAATAACACAATTATAAAGTAGACTTTCCAAAATATCTAATTTTTTAGTTAAGCCATTATTATAATCAGTGTGTATTCAACCGCATAAAGATAACCTTGCATTACCATTTTCAACCCCTTACAACCCTTTTTTCGCATTAAAAAGTAGCCTATGTCCTTCCTCGGCGTCTAGACTATATGGGTACCAAATTTCATTTAAACCAGTTCAGTAGTTTTGGCGTGAAAGCGAGACAGACAGACAGACAGACAGACAGAGTTACTTTCGCATTTATAATATTAGTAAGGATATATATATATAGTAGATACTCTGTAGTCTATGATAAAAGGATTCGACATCAAACGAATGGGGACATGAGATTTTGAGAGCCTATTATTATTGAGAGATTACAATTTATAAGAGATTTGTTATGTTCAGAAAATTATAAATAGAATACATTTGAATAACATTAACAACGGCCGCTAAGGTATATTATAGCTATATTTGTATAGGTCATTGTAATCTTTACAATCTATACATATAAATAAAATTAGAGTGTCTGTTTGTAATATTGAAATAACCGTTTTTACTACATGCATATGAATACAGATACGGTACAATTTTTGACCAGTGGTTTAGGCTGTGCGTTGACAGATCACTATGTCAGTCACTTTTGAGTTATATATATTTAGATTTTCACATCTATATTAATAATTTCATCAAGGGGTACGGTAGACTCGAACGAAACCTTATGTGAATAACAAAACATAAAAAAATATTGATTTCGAGTCGACGACATATATCTGCAAAATTCGGATTATGGAGTATTTCGTTAAATTCTAATGACACTGACAAACAAACCGCAGTCGCCATCTTTTTATTTCACTAGCATTTTCTTCGGTCGTTGACGTTTCGCGAAAATATTGTTTTTGACACTTTTTTATGATAAAAGAGTATGTGTTTTTTCTTTTAACCTGAAATTGGCCGATCGCGAGACAAATTTGGCAATTTTTTTTATTAATTTGTTTTACGGCTCTGGATACAAGTTCTTTTTAGCCCAACTTAGTTTTACAAAAAAATAAAAATTATTTGTATAAAAACTTTTACACTTTTTATTTACTATATTTATTAAACACAATATATTTTTGTTACTAATTCATTACTAATGTATGTATAATGGTCCGCAGTGTGCCCTCCTTCATCCCGCTGTTCCTGTTCGAGCAGTTCCGCCGGTACTCCAACTGCTTCTTCTTGCTGATCGCGCTGCTGCAACAGATCCCGGACGTGTCTCCCACCGGCCGCTGGACCACCCTCACCCCTCTTATACTCATACTCAGCGTCAGCGCACTCAAGGAAATTGTGGAGGACTTCGTGAGTATACCTACATTCATTGACGCTTGGGGAAAAGGTGATTGTCAGTATATAAAAACATCTGTTTAATCATATTTACTGAACAAAGCCTATTACTCACTAAACGATTACTTGAATGACGAGCGTGCATAGTTGTTCATACACGGGATTTTTATATTTTGTTAGACATAGACACCTATATAAATATACATTGTAAATAAACTGGATTAAAAAAAAGTATTCAATTGGATTTCTTGCCAGTTCTTCTCAATTGGATCTATATACTGAACTGGACGGTACGGAAAAACTTATGATATAAAAAAATTACGTTCATGAGCGGCTAAAATGTCCTACATGAATAAATGATTTTGAATAAATTTATGTGAATTGATGACCCCATTGCTAGCAATGTAGGGTACATTAGGATTAGGTCGACCTCCACGCGGTTCCCATGGGAACCATCCTGATAAATTCCTGGTGAATCTGTCACGATGTGCTGACTGACCTGACCTCATGCTCATCCTATCATCCTCCACTGGTGCCCCGCCAGCGTAAACCGTTAGCGCACGCGGGAGCAACATTCCATTATCATCCACTAAAAAAAACCAAATAGCCTTTTAACACGTGAGATCTTAGCAATATTATAAACGTGGAAGTTTGTGAGTACGATCGTAAGAATGGAGATTTGGTACTCTTTCACGCAAAAACTACGGAATGGATTTTAATAGAAGAATAGAATAGAATAGAATAGAATAGAATAGAAAATCATTTATTCAAATAAACTTACATTGAAGCACTTTTGAATAGTCATAGTCATGAACGCGAGCGAAGCCGCGGCTTCGCTCGCGTTCATTTATCCCCTTAGGGGTGAAATTTATCAAAATCCTTTCTTAGGAGAGGCCTACGTCATAGTAGATTTATGCACGCAAAGTCTCAGCGGTTTAAAATTGACAAACTTTCATCCCCTATTTTATCCTCTTGGGGGAAGAATTAATCAAAATCCTTTCTTAGCGGATGCCTACGTCATAACATCTACCTGCACGCCAAATTTCAGCCCGATCCGTCCAGTGGCTGTGCGTTGATAGATCACTAGGTCAGTCAGTCACCTTTGAGTTATATGTATATATTTAGATAGAAAAATCAGAATAACACAAATTTCATGTGGTTGAAACTGTGGGCACGGGAAGAAACAAAAAATATAATAATCTGTACGTAGGGTAGTAATGTAAAAGATTTTTTTTATTAGAAACGTCACCGAGCAGACGATGAGACGAACAGACGGAAAGTGGAGGTGCTGCGGGAGCAACGCTGGGAGATGATCCGGTGGGAGCGGCTGCAGGTCGGCGACATATGCAAGGTGGTCAACAACCAGTTCTTCCCGGCTGACCTCGTGCTGCTCGCTTCCAGGTTACCTTCTAATCACTACTACAAAACGATCATGATGACATATAATGTCCCTGGATAATACACAAAGCGCCATCTAGTCCCAAGCTAAGCTAAGCATTATATTATGTAATATACTGACGACCTCGGTGGTCTAGCGGTCTAGCACCGCTTTACGTCCGATGGTCGCGGGTTCGATTCCTCGCACGGCACAAACTTTTGTATTTACGAGTATGATTGTTTGTGTCGGTCTGGGTGTTTTATATGTATAATATGTATGTATTTACGAAAAAAAAATTATCTATGTATTTATCAGTTATCTAGTACCCATAACACAAGCTTTAGTTAGCTTAACTTGAGTCTATATAGCGCTGTGTGAATTGTTCTGAGATTATTATTATTATCCAAATATTCTCATCTCCCCTCTTAAGGAGAGGAGATGGCAACATACCCCCGGTAGAAGCTTATTATTATTATTATTATTATTATACATAGAAAACACTCAGATCGGTACAAACAATCGTGAATACAAATGTGTCTAGGAATCGAGCCCGCGACTATAGGAAGTAAAACGGTGTGCTAATCTGCTAGACCAGCGAAACTCTCAGTTTGACAATGTCTCAGACTACCCCATCCGGAATAACAGCCGTGAGGGTATGGTGTATGCTATAGGGAGTGTTTTGGCGTATCGTATAATATTTATAACTAGTTACTCGCTCCGGCTGCACCCAGATGTACGTGTATTATACATATAAACCTTCCTCCTGAATCACTCTATCTATTAAAAAAAACCGCTTCAAAATCCGTTGCGTAGTTATAAAGATTTAAGCATACATAGGGACGGGCAGACAGCGACAGCGACTTTGTTTTATACTATATAATGATATATATATTACACATCATTTCCTCTTAAACATTTGTTTTGCTAATCATATGTTTATTTCAATACATTAATTATTAGTTGAGGGTCTATTTTATATACATAACAATTATTATCGACCCCACAAGGATATGTTTTTTTATGTGTAAATACTTGATGCCTCTAGCAGTAACAGTGATCTTACAGTTTATATATAACATTTATGTTTTTTTCCACCTACAGCGCACCGCAGGGCATATCGTTCATCGAGACGTCGAATCTGGACGGAGAGACAAACCTGAAGATCAGGCAGGCGCAGCCGGAGACCAGCCGCCTGGACTCCGCCACCGCCCTCGCCGACTACCACGCCACGCTGCAGTGCGAACCGCCCAACAGGCACCTCTACGAGTACAATGGGAAGCTCACGCCCTCCAACACCAAGTATGTACCCCTCTACGAGTACAACGGGGAACTGACGCCCTCCAACACCAAGTATGTACCCCTCTACGAGTACAACGGGGAACTGACGCTCTCCAACACCAAGTATGTACCCCTCTACGAGTACAACGGGGAACTGACGCCCTCCAACACCAAGTATGTACCCCTCTACGAGTACAACGGGGAACTGACGCTCTCCAACACCAAGTATGTACCCCTCTACGAGTACAACGGGGAACTGACGCCCTCCAACACCAAGTATGTACCCCTCTACGAGTACAACGGGGAACTGACGCCCTCCAACACCAAGTATGTACCCCTCTACGAGTACAACGGGGAACTGACGCTCTCCAACACCAAGTATGTAACCCACTACGAGAACAACGGGGAACTGACGCCCTCCAACACCAAGTATGTAACCCTCTACGAGTACAACGGGGAACTGACGCCCTCCAACACCAAGTATGTACCCCTCTACGAGTACAACGGGGAACTGACGCCCTCCAACACCAAGTATGTACCCCTCTACGAGTACAACGGGGAACTGACGCTCTCCAACACCAAGTATGTACCCCTCTACGAGTACAACGGGGAACTGACGCCCTCCAACACCAAGTATGTACCCCTCTACGAGTACAACGGGGAACTGACGCCCTCCAACACCAAGTATGTACCCCTCTACGAGTACAACGGGGAACTGACGCGCTCAAACACCAACTATGAACCCCTCTACGAGTACAACGGGGAACTGACGCCCTCCAACACCAAGTATGTATCCCTCTACGAGTACAACGGGGAACTGACGCCCTCCAACACCAAGTATGTACCCCTCTACGAGTACAATGGGGAACTGACGCCCTCCAACACCAGTATGTACCGCTCTACGAGTACAACGGTAAACTGACGCCCTCCAACACCAAGTATGTACCCCTCTACGAGTACAACGGGGAACTGACGCCCTCCAACACCAAGTATGTACCCCTCTACGAGTACAACGGGGAATTGACGCCCTCCAACACCAAGTATGTACCCCTCTACGAGTACAACGGGGAACTGACGCCTCCAACACCAAGTATGTACCTCTCTACGAGTAGAACGGGGAACTGACGCCCTCCAACACCAGTACGTACCTCTCTACGAGTACAACGGGGATCTGACGCCCTCCAACACCAAGTATGTACCCCTCTACGAGTACAACGGGGAACTGACGCTCTCCAACACCAAGTATGTACCCCTCTACGAGTACAACGGGGATCTGACGCCCTCTAACACCAAGTATGTAACCCTCTACGAGTACAACGGGGATCTGACGCCCTCTAACACCAAGTATGTACCCCTCTACGAGTACAACGGGGAACTGACGCCCTCCAACACCAAGTATGTACCCCTCTACGAGTACAACGGGAAACTGACGTCCTCCAACACCAAGTATGTACCCCTCTACGAGTACAACGGGGAACTGACGCCTCCAACACCAAGTATGTACCTCTCTACGAGTAGAACGGGAGGCATATATTGTGGTCACGAACCCGCGACAATAGAGATCAAGGCGATGTGCTAAACCTTCGAAGCCGTTATTTATACTGTTTGAGCTAATTGTAAATAGTTGATACGATATTGAAACCTTCAAGAAAAGAGCTTATTCCTTTTTAAAAGGCCGACAACGTACTTGCAATTCCCCTGGTGTTGCGGGTGCTCATGGGCGGCGGTAATCACTTACCATCAGGTGAGCTGCATGCTCGTTTGTCCCCCGTGTTATAAAAAAAAGTTCAGAAAAGTGAACTAGATGTTGCTGTGTCATTAATGATTAATTTCTAATATAGATGTACAGTCTCCCTACAGTCAGGATCAGATACAGAGACAACATTTTCGTTTTACGAGCAAGTCCTTTAACCAAGTACCACATGATATTGACCTGTTTTGTTCCAGCATTTGACGGTTACATATGAGTTTCCTAACTGAGGCAGTTAGGAAACTCATATGTAACCAATTCTTAGCTTCAAATTTGAAGGTACATAGCCATACTTTATTTGTATGTTCTGTGGGTACATCACTTGGTATGTTGGTCTGTTTACTTGTACTGTATAATAATATAATATAATAATATAATAATCTCAGTACAATTCACACAGAGCCATCTAGACCCAAGTTAAGGTAGCTAGAGCTTGTGTTATGGGTACTAGATAACTGATACATATACATAGAATTTTTTTTTTGTAAATACATACATATTATACATAGAAAACACCCAGCCCGATACAAACAATCATACTCATGTATACAAATGTTTGTGCCGTACGAGGAATCGAACCCGCGACCATCGGTCGTAAAGCGGTGTGCTTGACCGCTAAACCACCGAGGTCGTCACTGTATAACTACAACTAAAACACCGTCACGTGATTACTTTGATTTGTTAAAATTGGATTATGAAAAATTTAATCTAGTAATACTATACCGTTAATCTTCCTAAAATAAATAAATAAATGTGTGGTGTGCAGGTCCATCCCGCTGGGTCTGGAGCAGATGTTGCTGCGCGGCGCGATGCTGCGGAACACCGCGTGGGTGCACGCAGTCGTCGTCTACACCGGACACGAGACCAAGCTCATGAAGAACTCCACCAAGGGTACGTACCACCCTATACGCACTCTCACGATGTTATTTCCGATGGTCGCGGGTTCGATTCCTAGGTCATGTTCAGGTTGCGAACACTGATTAGAATTGTTTTTTGCAATAGCATATGATAGTCGTCACTCTATTCTCCCAAATTTGAATTTAAATGAATCTGTATTATTGTAAATACGTGCAACTTTTATTTAAAAAAATATACGAGCTGAGTTCCTTGTCAGTTCTTCTCATCTCGTAATCATTCCGAACTGACGGTAGATTTAACATATCATAAGAGTCTGTAATAGACCTACATGAATAAATATATTTTGATTTTTTTTTTTAATTTATACAAAGTCTTGGTTCCTCTAGCCAAACAGATGCGGATCTTGTCGGCCGTAAACAGTAAACATACTTATGACCTACACCAGGAGTGGACCTACCAAAAGGCTTCTTACGCTGGAGCCCAGGGCCCCGTAGATAAAAAAGGCCTCTAGCCCCCGTTAGAATAGTATAGAAAATTGAAAACAATAGTCAATAGTTTAAAAAAAAACATTAAAATACCTATCATAAGGTTGGCAACACTGAGATCAATCAATCGATGCATGTGCGCATCTATCGAACGGAACAGGGGAATTCCCCGTCGCTTGTTTTTGGTCGGTGTATTTTTTTAGTGAAGTAATATAATTAGGGAGCCCTGGTCTAAAACTACATAGGGGCCTATGTAGTTTTAGCCCAGGGCCCAACAAATTCACGATCCACCTCTGACCCACACGATGTAAATGGTGGCAGTCGAGGTGCAAAGAAGTACTATATCGTTTTATCGGCACCTCTGAAACGATCATCATGTGGGCCGTAACAGCTAAGCTAGCTTATGGTCCACACGACGGAAGAAACGTTCGTCATGTGGGCCGTAATAGCTAAGTTAGCCCACATGATGGAACGTCTGCCTACACGGCGGAGATTGTTAGACTTTTCGAAACTGTGGAGTCATTTCTAATCTTTGTGACATTCGAGTTACATAAAAGTAATATGTTGTATTATCGGCAGCACCTCTGAAGCGGTCATCCATCGACCGACAGACAAACACACACATCCTGATGCTGTTCCTCATCCTGCTGGCGCTGTCGCTGCTCAGCGCCGCCTTCAACGAGCTCTGGATACGGTCGCACAACGACTGGTACATCGGTTTGGAAGGTACGTCCAAATATATAGAATCTTTATATAGTATAAAACAGACGGCCTCGGTGGTATAGCGGTTAAACACGCCTCACTTCCGATGGTCGCGGGTTCGATTCCTCGCACGGCACAACATTTGTATTCATGAATGTGTTTGTTTGTGTCGGTCTGGTCTCTATATATAATATGTATGTATTTACGAAAAAATACATATCTATGTATTTGTATCACTTATCTAGTATCCATAACACAAGCTTTAGCTAGCTTAACTCTAGACCCAGAGGTCGCCATGTAAATTGTCCTGAAAATTCCTTCAATATTACAAACGGACACTTCAGTTTTATTTATATGTATAGATACAAATAAAGTATAAAATGTTAGTACATTTGAGACGGCACGATGGATTTATGAAAGTAATTATTGAGGGGAAGATAGAAGAAAAGAGGGGGAGAGGAAGACCAAGGCACAGCTGCATCAAGCAAATTAAAGGTTAAATACTAGTCGTATCAAGGTTTAAAGAGTATGATGGTAGATCGTAGAAAAAGAGATGGATGGACTGTGTGAAAGATGATATGGTAAGAAAGGAAGTAAATAACGAGATGACTGCGAACAGGGATGAATGGAAGCGAAAAACATTACGACGACCAGAAATAAATGGGATAAGGAAGAAGCAGATGATGATGATGATGGTAGATCGTAGAAAGTGGCAAGAGCTCCACCAACAAGCGTCGCTCTTAAATTATGAACGATTTTTTTTACAGAAGCGCAGAAGGCACACTTCGGATTCAACTTTCTAACGTTCCTGATATTGTACAACAACCTGATACCGATATCTCTGCAAGTCACCGCCGAAATCGTGAGGTTTTTCCAAGTGAGTACTGTTTTTTAAATGTTTTTAAAAATTCACCAACAATTATTATCTGTGCTGTACTGATGGTTGACTGGTAGAAAATACCGCATGGTGTTAAGTCCGCCAAATGTACTGTATGCATCAAAGATATATAAATTAACTAGTAGACAACTAGTAACCACGCGTTGCTGTGGCTAAGGTTCTTGAATAAAGTATTGCGACTATAAATTGAGATGTAAGCTATCCTATCTTTCAAGTTGGATCCAATTGCACACAATGTGGAAATCAAATTTGCAATCGTTTCAGTAGTTTAGGAGTCCATTGCGGACACGTAATTTTGATATATAAAGATAAATAAAAATTAGCTCAGAAAACAAAAAATTGTACCCAAAAACTGTATGCTGTCTATAATATTACCTTTTCCCACTTTACACGGAACCAATAGTAAAGTATTCAATTTTAATTTTATTTAAATAAACTTAATATTTTTCAATATTAATAATATTTTTTTAATTTTACCATTCGGAACGCAGTCATCACAAGGAGACTGAGCAAGAAACTTGCGTGTTGCTCCTTTAAATATATGTTGTTTTAAATAAATACATACATACACTTTATTAATTAGGAGGCATGGAACCCCCTTCACACTCATTCTCTGTGCAATCACATAATATTGTAAGCACTATACATTTTTAGTTTTTCCACAGAAACGCTATTATCATTTACAAACTCTCAAATTGTAAATAAGGTTAACATTGTTTTAATAATGTGATGTTTGAGTCTTCTTTCTTTGGCAGTTGTAAAACCTTAAGCAATATATTTTCAGGCAAAATTCATTGCAATGGACAGTGAGATGTACCATGAAGAGACCGACACGCCGGCGATGGCGCGCACCTCCAACCTGAACGAGGAGTTGGGCATGGTGAAGTACATCTTCAGCGACAAGACCGGCACGCTCACCTGCAACGTCATGAAGTTCCACAAGTGTTCCATTGGGGAGGTGAGAGCAATATTTATGATATTACTAACTGACTGGTAAAGTTTGTTTTGCCATATAAAATGAAGTTTGTTTTGTCATATAAAATAATATAGCTATTAAAATAGGGGTTGATGGTATGTTAGAATTCACATCATTATTGTAGAAAAAATCCGATATTTTAAAAATATATTAAAAGAAGGTAGTTTGTTTTTAGTACTAATGAAGTACCCAATGTAAGGATTATTACGAATATTGTAAATAGCGCCATCTAGTATTTATAGAACAACCTACTACACTGACTTTGGTCTATAAATACGGAGGTCGGTAGTTGAATAATCCTCTTTCGTTGCGTGAGCCGCGACATTCAGTCGACGAGCGCAGAGCGTGCTGGTTGTGTTTTGTATATTAAAGTGAATTGTATTAGCAATGGGTTTATCCCGGTCTTAGTTGGGCCTGGGGGGAAGCTGCAAGTAGTGAAGGTGAGTGTTAATGCATTCTAAAAGAGCCTTTTAAACCTACACCCGTGTCACAAGTCACGGGCGCTACTTGGGGTTTCCCTTGCGGTAGCCGGCTTCAAAGCCTAAGTCATCAACTTATACAAGTGCTTCTTACAGGTAGAGGATAGAAATTCAGGGTTGTATGTCTCATTTAATCAAATAAAAATGAAATAACTAAATATTTAAAAAATAAAAAAGTTCTTTTTCGCTTCGGGATATAAAATTTGAAAAATATAGACAACCTATTCTCAGACCTACCGAGAATATATAATTTCATCAAAATCAGTTAAGCCCTTTCAGAGAAGTGTGAGAAACTAACATTGTGTTACGAGAATTTTATGTATTGAATATCAAAAGCAAAGTGTCAAAAGTCAACCATTGTTGCTTCCTTTAAAAAAAACCATTGTTGCTTCTATCCATACAAATAAATATAATTTTCTGTCTGTAATTTCAAATTACCAGCTTTTCACTATATGATCCTTGCATCAAAAAGGTAATTTTGAATTTTTTTTTGTCTGTCTGTCTGTTTGGTTTTATTAATCTCTGAAATGGCTTTACCGGTTTATGACTACGACGCACTCGTACAATGTGACACAGACAACTCTGTATGAAAATGATGGAATAAGCCATAAAAGTATTAATTATTTAATTTATTCACTCATGTAATATAATTACCGCTTTCTGTATTCACCCAATACTTAGCTGGTAGAGAATGCTATATGGCATTAAGCTCACCAATTGTACATTATTTTAAATAGTGTAATAAAGTAAATAATAATATACTGTTGTAACACCGAAATGTATACGTATTACGCATGTATAGTAAGTACCTACGCCGTGAGACTCGTCTAAATTGACATCCAAAGGCCCTATTTACATTCAGCCCGAGTGAGCAGCGCGAGAGTGGAAACATTTCCCATATTATTGTCGCTGCCACTCGCGCTGCCCGGCGCTCCCTCGATTGTCGGTTTTTGTGCGCGAGTCAGTTGTCGCCCGGCAATATTTCCGGCAGCGCGAGTGGCAGGGGAAGCGGCTGAATGTAAACGTAGCATAAACATACGGCGCATGCGCGTCGACCGACCAATAGGAGCGCGCCTCTCGCGCTTCCAGAAAGTTCGCGACCAACGGACGATACAGTAGTAAAGCGATGAGTGTTCCAGTGACATCATTATAATGTTGTTTCTCGTTAAGTTTTATTGTAATATAAACAATTTCGTAATAAATAACGTGTTCTCCCGTTACACTGTTTTAAATTTGATGCGGTCATTTTATATTTGTATAATTAGTAAAAGTTACGGGATATTATCACGTTTTATATTTATTTACTGAGTTCCCGATATATATTGCTTCTCAATACATTTATGAAAATATCATCTATGCCAGAATGAATATAGACAGTTTCAAAAGAGTTAGTGATTGCACTAACAAAAGCTTACGTAACAATAACAAACTGATTTTACCTAAATGTCTTTTGGCTAAAGTTAGTAATTCGTTTTATGGCAATTGCGTAAGGTTTTACAATAAAATACCAGAGTCTGTTATGAATCTGCCAGAAAAAATATTTAAATGTCAAATAAAACAGTTCCTTTGCAAAAAAGCTTACTATAAAATTGAAGAATTCGTTAACGATAATAATGTTTTTATAGAAAAACTTTAAATCTATAGCACTGACAATATTATCTGATTACATTAATAATGAGTGCGTAGCGACTTCTATGTTGATTATCGCATGCCTCTTACTTGTTATACTGTAATTATTATATAAAAAAACATCTATTGAAAAGAGCAACACACAAGTTTCTTGCTTATTCTTCTTGTGATGAATCTGCATTCCGAATGAGTGGTAGAATCAAAATATGACTATTCAAAAGTGCTTGTAATGAGTTTATTTGAATAAAAATTATTTCTATTTCTATTTCTATATTTCGGTCCAGTTTACCCGTGGCAGTTGAAACTGCCGAAATATCGGGACCTCGATAAATAAATATGAAACGTGGTAAGATCCCGTAATTTTTACTAATTATACGTATAAATAATAATAATTTTGGTTTAGATAATTTACAATCGTCCCGGACCGAATGAGAAGTTGGAAGATACGTTACTGTACCAGAATCTCAACAAGAACCACCCGACGGCGCCCATCATCGAGGAGTTCCTCATCATGCTAGCCATCTGCCACACCGTCATCCCGGAGCAGCGGAACGGGAAAATTGAGTACCAGGCTGCATCACCAGGTAATTGCAGTATCAGATTTAAATTCAAAATATCTTTATTCATGTAGATCTATTACAGACGATTAAGATATGTCAAATCATAATAAGAGATTATGATATGTCAAATCTACGGTCATTTCGGAATGATTTCGAAATGAGAAGAACTGACAAGAATCTCAGCGTGTGTTCTTTTCAAATAAATATTGTAGTGTTTACAATAATACAGATTCATTTAAATTCAAATTCTGGAGAATAGTGACAACCAGCATATGTTAATGTAAAAACAAAAAATCTAATCGCTGTTCTTAACCTGAACAGACCAGTCCCCACAAGTAGCACCCGTTCATGAGTATGACGGATGAGACAGCCATCATTGTTTTTGTTTACTGTTTTTGAATAGTGGTGTGGCACTATTGAAAATGAATGTGAATAACCGATTTTTATAGGTTACTCAGAAACGATATGCGAGTGCTTATTTTAAACGCATTAACACATTATTAAGTGTAGCCGTTAATAAATAAATAAACTATAGTTGTATGAACAAAGATTCTTTAAAATTGATACATTCACTAAAGCAATGACTTTTTTTTTTATAAAATAAAGGACCTTTATCATCTTTCATAAAATATACATCTATTTAATAGAAAAAAAATGTTTGTGTGTAGTATAATCTCGTAAGTAATGCCCCGAGTGATAATTAGTATATTGAAGTGTTGGTAATGGTGTCGATAATGTGTGTCACAGACGAGCGCGCGCTGGTGCTGGGTGCGGCCGCGTTCGGGTTCGAGTTCGAGTCCCGCGGCGCCGGCTGCGTCAGCGTGCGCGCGCGCGGCCGCCGCCTCCAGTACCGCGTGCTGCACGTGCTCGACTTCACCTCCGCGCGGAAGCGCATGTCCGTGCTCGTGCGCACGCCCACAGGTACACACCGCACACCACACAACACACACACACTCGCAGCGCATGTCCGTGCTCGTGCGCACGCCCACAGGTACACACCGCACACCGCACACCACACACACACACCACACCACACACACTCGCAGCGCATGTCCGTGCTCGTGCGCACGCCCACAGGTACACACCGCACACCGCACACCGCACACCACACACACACACCACACACACACACCACACACCACACACCACACACCACACACCACACACCGCACACCACACACAGCTCGCTCAATCACTCCATGGCGATTAAATTTCAAAAGACTGATGCCTCTCCCGCACTAATGGACATCATTCCTGCTCGCCATTTAGTATTTTATTTGAATTTAAATTTCAAAGGATACAAAAAATAAACGTTTTGTCGTAATATGCAAAATAAAGAAGTGGATTGTTTATATTGTATCAAATTGGTTTGATTACAATCTAGAGATTACAAAGTTTTAGCCCAATCTTAATACTACGAAACGCTAATTAAAGTAAAATTAAATATTTACATGCGGTCGCCACGTCGGCGGCTGCATCGTCCCCGCCCCGATCGCTTTCGCTTATGATGCCTTCGTCCCGTGCAGGCGAGCTGAAGCTGTACTGCAAGGGCGCGGACTCCGTGATCTACCCGCGGCTGGCGGGCGGGCGGGCGGCCCCCCGCGCGGACGCCACCCTCGCGCACCTCGAGCTGTTCGCGGCCGACGGGCTGCGCACGCTGGTGCTGGCGGTGGCGGACGTCTCCGAACAGTTCTACCAGGTGAGGGTACTATACGGACGCCACCCTCGCGCACCTCGAGCTGTTCGCGGCCGACGGGCTGCGCACGCTGGTGCTGGCGGTGGCGGACGTCTCCGAACAGTTCTACCAGGTGAGGGTACTATACGGACGCCACCCTCGCGCACCTCGAGCTGTTCTGGTGCTTGTATGAATTATTAAACGGTTGAAGTGTTATAAAATGATAATGCCATAAATCGATGTTGACGGGACGTGTATATGAATAAGAATGAAAAATAATATTTACATAGATTATAAATTACGAAGCGCCTAAAATATCTTCTTAGCAATAATTATAAGTATTGCATATTGTTGCTAATAGAGCCGTTTCAGGCTTAAACAATGCAGTTCAGCTGCATCTCGAGCTGTGAGGGTACTTGATCATAAACTAAAACCTGCAAGATCTGTTTAAATGTAAGAATATTTTGGCACATTTTTAAATCAAGGTAGAAAGGTACAACTAACGTATAACTTGACGTTAAAAGTTATGAATGTTTGTTACTAGGATTGGTCGAATACCTACCACAAGGCGAGCATAGCGATACAGGACCGCGAGCAGAAGTTAGAGGAGGCGGCCATGCTCATAGAGAACAACCTGCGACTGCTCGGCGCCACCGCCATCGAGGACAAGCTTCAGGTAAAACCAGTAATATTACAGCATCGACAGTCACCGTCCCATAAATTCCTCCTGGTTCAAATTGCTATCAAATTATAGTTAAACCTATATATTTAACATAAAAAATAGTCCAAAGTTATTTATATATTCTGCGTTATTATAGGTTTCTCGTCTATATGTATGGTATTGTGAATGTTGTTTTTTTTTTGTTATATTATGTTCGATATGATATGTAATTAGGTATTTACTCTATAGTCACATGTCAGTGCACACATTTTGCAGTGCTCATTTATTACAAATACGCGCGAAAATACGCGTAATCGCACGCACATTCTTTCACGTCCTCTGTCTATATTTACATGAACACTCTTTCCCACGGGAATGCCGATTCCACGGGAAAGAGCGTACATGTAATCTTAATATCCCAGGACGGCGTTCCGGAGACGATATCAGCCCTGCTGAAGGCGAACATGTACGTGTGGGTACTCACGGGCGACAAGCAGGAGACAGCCATTAACATCGCGCACTCAGCGCACCTCATACACCCCGCCATGCCGCTAGTGGTGCTCAACAAGGACAGCCTCGACGTATGTACATTCACCTTTAGTACAATAAACAAATTTCCATCAGCCGGCCACCAAAATAAAGTGCCAAAGACTATGTATCTTTTCCTTTGTAAAAAAGCTCATTATAAAATTGAAGAATAATGTAAATATGGGACACAGTCACCTAGATACATCAAAATAATAATTGCATTTAATAATGTCTAGTAAGACAAATTCAATACTAATAATAATAATAATAATAATAACCTCAGGACAATTCACACAGCGTCATCTAGACCCAAGTTAAGCTAGCTAAAGCTTGTGTTATGCGTACTAGACAACTGATACAAATACATAGATATTTTTTTTTTTTTTCGTAAATACATACATATTATACATAGAAAACACCCAGACCGATACAAACAATCATACTCATGAATACAAATGTTTGTGCCGTGCGAGGAATCGAACCCGCGACCATCGGTAGTAAGTCAGTGTGCTAAACCGCTAGACCACCGAGGCCGTCAATTCAATATTGTGTACTAAGCACTGCTGTGTGTAAACTGTGTCACCCCACCTTATATTTTCCTATTGTTATTTAGTATATAAGATCATTATTTCTATGTTAATATTGTCAGTTTATTATCATCTGTAATATACATCGTCTCGACCAACAACATCGTACTATTCACCTGCAACAGTAAACAATAAATAAAATACTTAAAATTCAATGCGCTGAATATTCTTTTCTTTCTGATCGCACTAAGAATGAGTGGATAGCATACCATCATATCGCATACCTCTTGTTGTACTGTAATTATTTATTTTAAATAACATCTATTTAAAACAGCAACATGCAAGTTTCTTGCTCACTCGTCTTGTGATGAGACTGCGTTCCGAATGAGTGGTAGAATCAAAGTATACCTATTCAAAATTGCACACATTTAGTTTAATTTAATAACTTCCGTGTTGCTCTTTTAAATAAAAATAAATCAATAATTTTGTAATCATGTACAAGCTCATTTCCAAGGAATAAAAGCCGAGATCCTTCTCAATTCTTCTTAACTCCAAAGCACTCGGAACTGACGGTAGATTTGACATATCATAAGAATCTGTAATAGAGCTACATGAATAAATATATTCTGATTTGATAAAGATGATTTCTATTTCTGTTTCAATGCAGGGCACTCGCGAAACCATATCTCAGCAATCGGCGGAGTTCGGTGAGAACTTGCGGAAACAGAACGAGGTGGCGCTGATCATCGACGGCAAGACCCTCAAGTACGCGATGGGCTGCGACCTCAAGAAGGATTTCCTCGATCTGTGTATATCCTGCAAGGTTGTCATCTGTTGCCGAGTATCGCCCATACAGAAGGCCGAGGTTCGTTTATCCGTTAAAAAAAAAGTCATTGTAGGACTATTATTTTTTATTTTATGTAGGGGTTGTTCCTACACTTGTTGATAATAATAACTAAAATGATGATGATGATGATGATTGATAATGATAACTAAAATGGTGATGATGGTGATGATGATTCATAATGATAACTAAAATGATGGATTATAAATAAAAGATACGTACCGTAGTGAGCTCTTGATGTTATACACTGATTTATTGTATAGTAAAATGATATATGCTACGTAAATGATAATTTATAAGTATATTATTATTATGGTACGGTGTTCCTATGTGTATGGTGTGTAATTTATTTATATATTTATTTAAATCGGGCTAATCGAGCTAATGGCCCATATTATAAATATCTTACAGACTAACATACATACGAATAATATAATTATAAGAAAAGAAATATAAGTTGTCTGTGTGATCACGGCACTGAGGATGGTAATCTGCCACGGTAGCGCCGATACACCACACCCTTCGGCCAGTAGTCCTCCTTAATGAATGTGGTCAGCATGTTGGTGGGAACTCGGACCACAAACGTCTTGAAACTCGCGTTATGACTCGATTCTAGCTGCGTCACCCTCGAATAGAATAGAAAATCATTTATTCAAATAATAAGTTTATTTGAATAAATGATTTTCTAAATAAAGTCATCATTAAGTGTGTGAATACAAACCACCAATTAGCACTAATTCAATTAAATACTCAAATAGAAAAAATATTGAATATATAACCAACTGGTTAAACAATTAATAAGAGGAAATCAGTGAGTGATTAGAGCAGACCAGTCCCTACAAGCAGCACCCGTTCACGAGTATGACGGATGAGCCAGCCATCACTGCGCTCGACAATATTTTAGACCCCAATGACCCGGCCCACCACGCCGCCACATGTCTGGACATTTTAGTGAGCATGACTACTCAAAACACTAGACCACGTCAGGTTACTCCTGGTCTGTATGTACTCGACTGTGTCCTGCTCCTTGGTGGTGTTATACAGATAGGTAAATTTATGTTAAAGACACATACACATAAGGCACTGTAATATTAACAACAAAAAGAAAAAAGTAAATACATTGATCAATGAATAAGCTACAAAAAAAAACGTAACGTTGTGTGTGTATAGCTCATACGCAAAAATGCAGCACATCAGTGTATTGTTTGCAGCATACAGTATTTCAATTTAAAAAAATACCCACAAACTTCGTACGACAGACGAACTTCTTAGCTTTCCATGGATTCACCATGCGCTTTCCCTCTCTCGAGTTTCTCTCTCTACACCACTCTCTACACCCTCTCTAGCACACGATGGATCCGTCGTGTGGTAAAGAGGAAAACTCCGAGCAGTTTCCGGCACTTGTGACCCGAGTATAGGTTTAATGCGCTTTGCTGCCCTACGACAACATTTACCTTCACTACTTGTGCTTCTCACACTGTCCAGATATATCTCATAGGAGCTTTAGAATAGGATAGAAAATCATTTATTCAAATAAACTTACATTGAAGCACTTTAGAATAGTCATAACATTTTTTTTTAATCTACCGCTCATTCGGAATGCTGTCTCATCACAAGAAGTGACTTCTCCCATGATTGGAAAATATGTGTTATCAGCGCTACACCTGCGTCAGTGGTAGACTTGCCGGCAGTGAAACCATATTGCTGACTGTGAAGCAGTCGGTTATCCCTGAAGTGTTGTAACATTTGATTTAACATTATCTTTTAGTGCAGCTTGCTAGTGCAGCTTGTTAGTGCAGCTTCAGACATATGTTCTCCTATAGGACTTCTGCAGTTCTAAACAAAGATCTTTTAGAAGATTGCTACATGGTTAAATATGAAAAAACGACGTATAATTTTCTCTTATTTTTGAAGATTTCAATAAGAAATAGACATTTTCTGATACATTAAATGTCTTATGTTTGAATAGTTTATACTGTTGATTATCAAATTTGTTGAGTCCTATCAGTTAAGTTATATTTATTTATTATAATGTAAGGTGATTATATAGAACATACGCGGCGAAGTATAATATTTATGTAGTAGTATGTTTAAATTTATTAGATACTGGCTTTTGCCCGCGGTTTCGCTCGCGTTAATTTATCCCCTTAGGGGTGAAATTTATCAAAATCCTTTCTTAGCGGATGCCTACGTCAAAACATCTACTTGCATGCCAAATTTCATCCCGATCCGTCCAGTGGTTTGGGCTGTGCGTTGATAGATCACTACGTCAGTCACCTTATATATATATACTAGCTGTCCCGGCAAACGTTGTTTTGCCTTAAAATAAAAATAAAAAATTAGGGGTGGACTACCCCTAACATTTAGGGGGATGAAAACTAGATGTTGGCCGATTCTCAGACCTACTCAATACGCTCACAAAATTTCAAGAGAATCGGTCAAGCCGTTTCGGAGGAGTATGGGAACGAAAACTGTGACACGAGAATTTTATATATAAGATATATAGATTAATGCGGAATTACATATTATTTGGGCCTTTACCAGCGCCGTAGGCCACTCATCGCTAGCTGAGTACTCTACAGTCTGTTACATACATATGTAGTGGTTAATCGGGGTCGCTGGTATACCGAGGCGTTGAGGACGTACTGTACTGTCCACCACGGCGGACGGTACAGTACGTCCTCGTATGAGGCCCGGCGGTACAGTGCGGTACAGTGCGGTACAGTGCGGTACAGTGCGGTACAGTGCGGTACAGTGCGGTCGCGGCGCAGGTGGTGGAGATGGTGTCGGCGGCGACGGGCGCGGTGACGCTGGCCATCGGCGACGGAGCCAACGACGTCGCCATGATACAGCGCGCCTCCGTCGGGGTCGGCATCTCCGGCGTGGAGGGGCTGCAGGCCGTCTGCGCCTCCGACTACAGCATCGCGCAGGTACTACTGCCGGCTCCAGGGACTCTACCCTTGGAAATACTCCCAAATCGCGGGTTCGATTCCCCGCACGGCACAAACATTTGCATTCATGAGTATGATTGTTTGTATCGGTCTGGGTGTTTTCTATGTATAATATGTATGTATTTACGAAATCTATGTATTTGTATCAGTTATCTAGTACCCATAACATAAGCTTTAGCTAGCTTAACTTGAACTAGATGGCGCTGTCTAAATTATCCTGCACGTGACTTTGTTTTTTTTTACTGATGATAATGGAATAGTACATCCGCCTGCGCTAACGGTTTGCGCTGGCGGGGCACCAGTGGAGGATGATAAGATGAACACGAAGTCAGGTCAGTTAGCCCATCATGACAAATTCACAAGGAATTTATCACGATGGGGTTTCCAAGAGGAACAGCGTGGAGGTCGACCTGACTTGGTACATTGCTAACAATCCTTCCCCCCCCCCCCCCCCTTGTTTGTTTTATGCTATATAATGATAATAATCCATATTATCATTACATAGTATAAAACAAAGTCTCTTCCGTCCCTATGTATGCTTAAATCTTTAAAACCACGCAACGGATTTTGAATCGGTTTATTTTTAATAGATAGAGTGATTCAAGAGGAAGGTTTATGTATAATACATGTACACCCGGGCGAAGCCGGGGCGATTAGCTAGTTAATAAATAAATAACGAACGGGAAAATAGTACCAATCACAAACCAGAACCTACATGACGTAACGAATAAAGTATATATTACATTACCATTGCAGTTTCGTTTCTTACTGCGACTGTTATTGGTGCACGGCGCGTGGAACTACTCCCGTATCAGCAAGCTGATCCTCTACTCGTTCTACAAGAACATCTGCCTCTATGTCATCGAGCTCTGGTTCGCTATATACTCGGCGTGGTGAGTACATTCATTCATTCATTCATTCATTAACTTAAGAGCAACGCTCTTGTCGGTGAAGCTCTTGCCACTTTCTACGATCTTCCATCATACTCTTTAAGCCTTGATACGACACGTTTAATTTGTTTGATGTAGCTGTGCCTTGGTCTTCCTCTCTCCCTCTTTCCTTCTATCTTTCCCTCAATAATTAGTTTCAAAAATTCATCGCGCCATATCAAGTGCCCCAACATTTTTCCTCTTCTGCTTTCTATAGCATTCAATATCTGCCTTTATTCTTTCACCCTGTGTAATTCTTCTTCATTTCTTACTTTATCTTTCCAGCTGATTCGTTCCATTCTTCTCTAGCACCACATTTCAAAAGCTTCCACTTTGTCCTTCTCTTTTTAAGTTAATGTTCACGTTTCACATGCATACAAAGCTGTACTCCAGATATAGGTCTTAATCAATCGTTTCCGTGAGTTCTTGGATATCTTAGCACGTAAAAGGTATTTTTTGTCATTAAATACTTTCGTGTGGTGAGTACATCGGTTCTATATTATATTACTTATATAAAAATATCGACTCCCATGTAAATGTATGTATTATAATGAAATAACAACTATATAACATTAATTTAAGTTTGTCTCTAACACAATTCACTTTATATTTAAAATACAACCAGCACATCCTGTGTTCAAAGACCGAATGCCGTGGCTTACAAAAAATCCCCTCTCTCACATGGGGTGGGGTGATATACGCAACTAATTTAACGATTTTAAATTATCGGATTTTTCTCCAATATCGATGTGAACCCTAAAACTTAGTATATACATCGTTTGTTGTAAAGCGATGTGACTTAGTGGTTTTTTTTTATTTATTAGTTACCACAGACATAAGGTTCGTGTCCTAGTCGATCGTTTATTGTGGTAAGGCTGGTTTCCGTTTGCTTTGAGAGAAGTGGAGTTTTATATTTTATTTTAAACTAGCTGTACTCGCGACTTCGTCCGCGTGGAATGTAACGAAAAAGTAATTGAGATTTTTTAAAAATAAAAGTAGCGTAAGTTACCCCGTATTACATCAGCTACCAATAAATGTCGCGTCAAAATCGGTCCAGTCATTTCATGAGAACTGACAAGAAACTCAGCTTGTGTATATATATAATATTAATTTATATGGCAAAATAATGTTTGCCAGGCCAGCTGGTATGTATTATATTTTGACATGTGATTGTATGGTCTCACAGGTCCGGTCAGATCCTGTTCGAGCGTTGGACGATAGGTTTCTACAACGTGATATTCACCGCACTGCCACCCTTCGCTATTGGACTCTTCGATAAATTGTGTTCACCTGAAATTATGTTAAGGGTAAGTCACTGAAACAATACTCACGCAAACATAACATAATTATTGTTATATATTGTTAATAAATTAACAATATTTATCATTTATTTATCCATATAATTTAATAATGTTAATTTATATACCTATCGTTAAAACGTTCATATATTGTACTAGCTGTGTACGCGACTTCGTCCGCGTGGAATTTAACTTAATTTTTCTAAAATTAAAGTTACTCTTTATCACATCAGCTACCTGCCAAAAGAAGTCCCTTCAAAATCGGTCCACCCATTTCAGAGATTAGCCGGAACAAACAGACAGTCAGACAAAAATTGTAAAAAATGTTTTTTTTGGTGTATGTACCGTATTTATATTCATATGCGTGTAGTAAAAACGATTATTTCGATATTACAAACAGACACATGGCAACATAAGTGACACCCTGGTGTCTCAGATGTCCCTAGGCTACGATTACTATTCACCATGGGTATATTAAGGTTTCTTAAGAGTCGGCAACGCACGTGATACCCCTGGTGTCTCAAGCGTCCATAGGCTACGGTAACCATTCACCATCAGAACCATATGCTTATTTGCCACCAACGTAATATAAAAAAAAGGTTTTAATGATGTTGTGCGAGGTGGTGAGTATTTAATTGAATTGGTGCTATTCGGTAGTTTGTATTCATACACTTCATCTTAAAATGTAAAGTAACAATAGATTATTTAAAAGAGCAACACGAAAGTTTCTCGCTCGTTCTTCTTGTGATAACACAGCTTTCCAAAGAGCGGTAGATTAAAAAAAATGTGATGACTATTCAAAAGTGCTTCAAAGTAAGTTTATTTGAATAAACGATTTTCTATTATATTCTGTTGTTGTCGCAGCACCCGGTGCTGTACATCCCGTCGCAGCAGGGCCTGCTGTTCAACGTGCGCGTGTTCTGGGTGTGGGCGGTGAACGCTCTGCTGCACTCGGTGCTGCTGTTCTGGCTGCCCGTGCTCCTCACGCAGCACCACGCGCTGTGGCCCAGCGGACGCGACGGGGGGTACCTCGTGCTGGGGACCTTCGTCTACACGGTCAGACCTCACCTACCTAATACCGTCTACGCGCTGATTTACGAATAGAAATAATGTCTATACAAATACACTTAATATAGGTGCTCATGATATTCGTCTGTTTAACACTTCTGATCGATCGACCCGTCCAATTCAAACGGGGATCGAAATTACGGTCTGAGGTTCGAACCCTAGCGGTGCCCTAAGATTAAAGTAGTATCTGTCAGGAAGGAGTTCGGTTTCAGTTTCTTAACTCTTTCCAAGGATGTGTGTAGTGTATTGCCCGTTTGTAAACGGACATAACATTGTAATTTAAAGATTCCAGTAATAATAATAACCAGTTGGATACCATAATATCTACTGCCATTACCTGTTGTGACATGTTGTAACATGTTTTTTTTAAATGGATGATAATGAAATGGTGCACCCATCTGTGCTGACTGTAAACGCTAGCGGGGCATTAGTGAAGGATGATAAGATGATCATGAGGTTAGGTCAGTTAGGCCATCGTGGTTCACTAGGAATTTAAAATGATGGCTTCCAGTAGAAACCGCGTGGAGGCAACCTGACATGGTACATTGCTAGCAATTGTTGCGAAGCCTCAGAAAAGATATCTTTCCACATTAATTACATTACTGTAACAGAAAGACGATCACTTTCTTTCTTCTACCCATATATATATACCCTATGCAGATATATATAGATAGATAGACAAAAGACAAATTATATTTTACAATGGAGTTACTAGTCCACATTACTAACGATCCCCTGCCCCCTACCGTGTCGTAACATGTTGTAACGTGTCGTAACGTGTGGTGACGTGCCCGTGGTGCAGTACGTGGTGCTGACTGTGTGCCTGAAGGCGGGGCTGGCGACGCACTCGTGGACGTGGGTCACGCACGTCGCCATCTGGGGCTCCGTCGCCATGTGGTTCATATTCATACTCATCTACAGGTAAACTCAATACACTATACCTTATTTTAGTTGTTTATGTAATACTAGCTACTCGCCCCGGCGTCTCACGGGTGTACATATATTACATGTATAAACCTTCCTCTTGAATCACTCTATTAAAGAAAAACCGCTTCAAAATCCGTTGTGTAGTTTTAAAGATTTAAGCATACATAGGGACGGACAGACAGCGACCGCGACTTTGTTTTATACTATGTAATCATGATTGCGTTAAGTAGTATGTATGTTATTATATTTTGTAACAGCAAATGTTAATAAATGAAAAATAATGCACCCAGGGAACGTATAATATTAATACTAGATTTAAAGACAAACTTGCTGTCCCCAAGTATCGTTTGGTAAAAGTTAATTAGTCTTTTATGGAAATAGGTATATAAATTTACAATAAGATACCAAAGGATATACTGGAATTACCCTTAAATAAATTCAAAACATCTGTTAAATCTCTCTAAACGATTACTTGAATGACGATCGTGCATGGCAATAGTTGTTCATGCACAGGATTTTCATTTAATGTTAGACATAGACACCTATATAAATAAAAAGTGTAAATAAACGCGCTATTAAAAAAAAATTATATCAATTGAGTTTCTTGCCAGTTCTGCTCAATTGCATCTATATACTGAACTGTACGGTAGGAAAAAAATATAATATAAAAAATTTGACGTTCATAAGCGGCTAAAATGTCTTACATGAATAAATAATTTTTTGAATTTGAATTTGAATTAGGTATGTGACATCTGAGATACAGTATAATTCTGTACTAGTTCAAATTGCAACTACACTCGTATGTTTAAATTGTGTTTACTCTTGTGTACAACTTAATTATGTACCACAAGGAATTATCAGTAGAAGAGATGTATGATGATGTTGACAGTAACCTGTACCCGGTGGTGTTGATCGGCGCGGTGATGCGCGGCATGGACCGCATGGTGTTCAGCTCGCTGCTGTTCTGGCTCGGGCTGGTCCTCATACCCATCGCCACCCTCGTGCCGGACCTACTAGTCACTGTGTGAGTACCATTTATTGCACCTTTAAATACATAATTTTAATTAGAAATAGAAATAATCTGTATTCCAATAAACCTAATATAAACGTTTTTGATTGTCACATTTTTTTTATTCTACCACTCATTCGGAATGCAGACTCATCACAAGAAAGAGCAAGAAACTTGCGTGTTGCTCTTCTATATAAATGTTGATCGAGGTATACACACTAAATAGGAGTAGGCCGACAATCAACATTGAAACTGCTACGCAGTCAATCTCTGTGCAATCATATAATATTGTCAGCGCATTAAAATTCATTAAGTCGTCGTGAAAACGTAATAAACCTACTGACAAAATTTTCATTATTCTTACATAACTGGCATGGTACTACGAATTATTTGAATGGAATACAAATTAAATACGGTGCGGTCCGAAGTATGTGCGTGGGGAGAAACGGCAGCCGGCGCACCCGCCCTCAGTCTGCGCCCCGCCCGCACCCCACACCGCACCCCCCACACACCGCGCTGGGCTCGTACCCCCGCCACGCTCATGTTAGATTCATATTTTACACTCATACATACTATATAAAGTATTTTTAGACTTGTAGACTAGTTACTGAATGACTCTATATATTTATTTTTTCGGATTACTCTAATGCTGTTGGCCGCAGCTGGCTTTTAGGACTGCATCGGACGATAGGTGACGAGTGCAGATGGCACTCCAAACCAATGGAAAGACTTACTGAGTGGCTGAAGGTTAATTCACGTCTGACGGATACGACTATAGTCTGAGGACAGTCTAAGAGTTCGAATCTCGGCTCAGGCCATATTTTCGATACCCGTTTGAATTGGACGGGGCATCGATCGGAGGGTCGACCGGGGCCCCAGTATGGAGTGCCAAGCCGGCCGATCTGTTGATTGCACGGTAGTTGAGGTCGTTGTCTTCGTCGGCGAGGACGGTGTCGTGTGTGTGGTGTGTATATTCGAATATATAGAGTCATACTGAAACAAGTCTAAAAAACAAGCGATATAGACATCTCTCTCTATAGTATAATTGTAATGGATTAGTGCTAGTTGGAAATTTGTATTAACACTCACTCATATTAGAATAGATTAGAAAATTCATTCAAAAACAGCTAGTATATATAATAGAGTAAACGATCTGGCCACTTACTTTAATAACAGAACAAAATCTCAGAAGAAATGATTTAAGTTTTAGTCAAAACCATATCAAAATCAATTGTGTGGCTTAAAATAAGCTAATGTAGAACCAGGCAGATATTCATAGACTTTTTTTAATTTCTAAAGATTAAATGTACAACAATGCTTATTATACATAGGACCCCGCTCTAGGCGAATGTAGACTTTATTTTATACTATTAAAGATATTTTTTTAATAATTAATAATATACGTACATATGTAATTATTAGTTACTGTAAATTATTCATATTTTAGTAACAAGTATTTCTATAAGCAAAGAAGATATTTCACATAGCATTGAACCTTAGATACAGTAAACTGGTTCCGTAGTAATTGTTTTATATAGAAGTGAACACTAATAGTTATTATTTATTTTAGTTACGAAAAGCAAATGTTTGAAGAGCATCGCTCAAAAGATTTGTTCCTACACGCGCAAAATATAATGGATATGTAAAGGAAGGTTAGATGTTTTATCACTATGTAGGTATAGTACTCTCAATTTGTGAATTCGACTTTAAAGTATATATTTTAAGGTTTATATTACTTTGAAGTTAAAATCTGCCTTTACTCGTACGCTTATTCACGCGCTCCTAATCACGCGGGAAAGAAATTCTTGTGTTAAGGCAGCTAAGGTCTTATTTTATATTATTGTATTATTAAGCGTGCCTACATATCATCATTTGACACGTTCGCACGTCCTCTTATCTTCATTTCTCTAATCACAAGTAGTATTCCCGGTCTATGCAGTCTTTTGGGAGTATATCGTCAAACAGACAGCTGATCGTGACAAGGAAAACCAAATCATTAAGTAACGTGGGTGTCGCGTACAGTAAAGCAGCAACAAAACGCAACACAGAAGGAACGTTCTGATTGGAGCGCACAGCCATCCAATACGACACAACTTCAGTAGTAAGAATATTCTTCTCTCCCTTTCGCTCTCTAATTACGAAAGGTACTATGTTTTAAGACAAGGCAAAAAGATCTTGCCACCGCGATATATAAATTGTATATATTTGCCACAGCGACATCTAGTTTACATTTTGGAACTATTATATTGTGCACTTAACTATATTAGCCTAAACACTTTTAAAAATTGAAATCTATCGAGCCAACGTACTTTTTGTTCACTCAACCAAATTAATAGTAATTTACCAAATGTATTCACGATAGTAAGCATCTATTATTTATACAACCCTGTAATCTGCTGAAGCCATCACCACGTATGGTTTGTTCATTCGAGCCGCATCATAACGTACCAAAGGGTAACATGATTATGCGCTCTATAGCCATAATAATACAGTTCATAATTACCATGATAAATCTAATATAAACAACGCAAATGATCTTTTCCAGTATCCACAACTCGGCGTTCAAGACAATGACGGAGGCGGTGCGAGAGAGCGAGATAAAACAACGCGATCCAGCCGCTCTGCTCGCACACTCGCGGCCCTCGTGAGTATACCTCTCTTACATACAACTCGCACACACATACATACAAATATTATACTATTTTTTTTTTAAATAATGAAGCAATTATCTACAATTCACTTAATACAAACGTATATATATTTATATGTTTTAAAATCAAACTAAAATACATTTGAAATATCAGCCATATGTCTTTAAAGTTTTTCTGTTATATATATTATTTAAGTATTTATATATTATATCAGTTTACAATTTAAGTAAGAAAGGAATAAAAAGAGGCAAGGCAAACAAGAAATATTATTACAGTACCATATTGTCGCAAATATTATATTGCATGGCAATGAGCATAGGATTCGCATGTAATTCTCTTAAAATCAGAATATTAGAATTTTCTTAATAATAAAGTTGCACTTACAGTCAGCTCACTGCAGTCCACTGCTAGACATATAGACCCAAGGCACGATCTTCAGCCCTTCTCTGAACCGCACAAACTGAATGATATTAGCGAAAATGACGCTAATTTCGTTCGTTCGTTCCGGTCATTTTTATTCAAACGATTGATCATGTGAAATGTCATTGTGATCAATACAATTTGAACACAATTCGTAACACGTACGTGTTTACGAAGATTTTATTTTGAAATAGAAATAATCTTTATTCAAATAAACTTAGAAGCTCTTTTGAATAGTCATATTTTTTTATTCAACCACTTTTAATCATATTTATGCATATTATATAAAAGTCACAAAATATAATTTATTCACAACTATACTCGTATGAAAGGTTAAAAGATGTATTAGAGGAATCCAATTCACCAATTAATCTTATCAATTAATTATACACTAGCTGTGTACTCGGTTTTACCCGCGTAAATTTCATTAAAAAATATAGCCTATGTGTTATTCTGATGGATAAGCTATAATACTGTAAAGTTTCATCAAAATCAGTAGTTTACAGAATGGCTTTTGAGTATCAAATGATGACGGATTAAGATATCATCATTGCCTTGCCTTTATCCCATTATTTGGGGTCGGCGCAGTATGTCATTCTCTTCCACTGCTCTCTATCGGTCGTCATATCTAAACATACTCTTCTTTTATTCATATCATCTTTCACACAATCCATCCATCTTTTCTTAGGGCGTCCCCTCCCTTTACATCCATCCACATTCATATTATACACTTTCCATAAGACATGGTCCTCATTCCTCCGCATAACATGCCCATACCAGCTCAATCTGTTCCCTCGCAACTTTTCTATAACCGGCGCAACTTTCAAACTTCCTCGTATATACACATTCCTTATTCTGTCATTCCTGGTAACCCCACACATCCATCTTAACATGTTAACATGACGGATTAAGATATATAAAATAAAATATCTTATTTTTGCCTTTGCCTTGTCTCTGATTTTATTTATTATATTCCAAATATTACAGATCGGGCTGATATTTAATACATATTATAAATCCTATAATTTACATGTTGCCTTTAAAATGATTTATATATATATATTTAGAAACGACCTAATTACTCAAGTACAATACCCATACCTCAAAGTATATATTTGTTTGTATATATTTATATTTAAAATCGATCTAATTACACAAATATCCCATAAACACAAGATTAACCCTTTCCACTCCAATGTGGAGTTTCACTCGACATTGATTTTGCTCCACCAGCTCCACTGTCCAGTTACACTAGACATAGTAATAATTCTTTTTGCGGACAATTTTAAAAAACGTGAGATTTTTTTTTTACTAAAATACCAAAAGGGATTATAAAGATTATAATTAAGAATTATAATATAGTGTCCTGTAATTACTCATAAAATAAAGTTTATCATATAAGAAAGAATTTCAAAATACGACAAAACCTGGAGGAGCTGAAAAAAAGTCTTGGAGTGGAAAGGTTTAAAAGTAGCGTCTGGTCTAAAATGGAGTGTAACATTTGCAAATGTATAGGTGTATACTTTCTAGGTTTATGAGTCGTTTTATTAGTTTATTTAAACAACTTATGTATTACATAAGTTGTTTAATGTACCGAATATATGATCGGCCTATTGTAATGGTCACATTACATTCTGTTGTTATGCCAGTCGCTATATTTACCAGGGATGTTAGGGAGCTCCGTAACCGTAACCATATCCGATATAAAAATATATTCGTAACCGAATCCGAAATAAGTTTCGGGTAATATTGGATAAGGGCGGAGCGTAATTGAGACGCGTTGTGTAACCATTTTATTAGCGATTTGTATTTTACTTTTGAAATTCCTTAAAAAATTAATATCCGTAACCGAAATTATCCGAAACTAACGGTTGATCCGAAGGAATTTAATATCCGTATCCGTATCCGAAGTTTCGTATCCATAACATCTCTGATATTTACATAAAATTTAACATATAAAGTCCTAATATATAAATTTTAATAAATTTATTCGCATTGTGTGGTAGATTATTATGATTTTCGAGTGAATAAATGTTTGTTTGTGTGTGTATTTGACTGGAGTGATATAACGTAGCTAACTTATATTTACGATTTTTTTATAAGGTGTATATATTATAAATATTTATACATATAAACTGTATATGTGTATAAAAGACATACTAGTATATTAAATAGTCAAATGCATTAATTTCGGATATTTTAAGTATATTAACATATTCTTTATTAGATTTAAAAGATTATAGATTTAATTTAACATTATAGAGGTTGATCGGTGCATTGGTACATACAATAATTATACAGGTCAGTCGTATTAGGATAAACAAAGCTGATGGGCAAGGATAGTCTTCCTGAAACTATAATAAGAATAACCTTGCCAAGTGGCAATATTAAAAAAAAATCACGTGAACTATTATTTAGTAACAAATGATTAAAAAATATGCAAAGGAACAATACGATTAAAAAAAAAGTGCAGTCACGTGATCAGTTTAGAATAAAAGGTTAAATAATATTTTTTAAATCCACTTCGTGTCTGGCTTCAGTTTTATCAGTATTCTCCCTTTCAGCTTGGTTTAACCTTTTCGGCTCACCCTGTATTATTAAACATACATACATTAACGGAAATGGAACACACTAACATAATCTAGACTATATCTTTATTATATCTCACATACTATATTATATGCACACGTCACATTCATAACTATCTATTCTGTCTATATATGTTGTAAGTACGGTATATTTGGCCTGTAACCATGTCAGTCCCCATATCACTCCATTTGCCGGTATTTCTTATAGTAGTGTTAGGGGTCATTCATAAATCACATGCTATTAAGGAGAGAGGACGTGGTTCGTGAAGTGTAATACATTCCGCCACGTCAAGCTTTAAAAACGAATTAATTTTCTAACTACTGTATATAATATATGACGTCACACTAGAAGGGCGTGGCTTCCGACCGAGACTATCTCTGATCCTTGTCAAAGCTGGTATCGTTCGGAAACACTCGTCCTTACGAGAAGGTAAGAATCGTGATATTTATGCATGGCCCCTTATATATGACGATATGACGTCGTACTGTATGTCTCGTGTAACTCCTGTGTCATAGTAACGTAGTGGCTTTATCTGAAATACCGGCAAGCGGCTTCGTGTTACATGTGAGTAGAGCACGCGAAGTATTTAGTTTTTGTTTCCCCATTTACGTTGAGTTCGCTTGGCATTGTGCCTCCCATCCTCGCACCTCGCATAGACTCGTATTAAGATTGCAATCGCATGTCCAACGCTGCACGGAAGCAGAGCGGGCTGTACTCTATTCACGGAGAAGGAGCAATGGATATATACGATGACGTATTGGTCAGTAACGAGCCGGATACGGTGTACACAGTATGACAGTATATATTCTTTTGACGTTTGCTATTTATTGAGACCTTTGTATGTATTTTTTTCGTTGCTAAGTAAATACTTGACAATAAAATTGGCGTAATAGTAGTAATAATTTATGGTCGAGTAGTAGAGTCGACAGGGTATATTTCGATTTCTTAAGGGTTGGTTTGGTAACGTGCACGTGACACACTTGTGTTTCAGACGTCTTTAGGCTACGGTATCCGTTAATCATCAGAAGGAGGCCGTATGTTTGATTGCTATCGTTGTATAAAACAAATAAGAGGGGTAGAATAAAGAAAAACTACGTATAACGTTTGAATAAAATATTAACTTTATTGAAATAATGGATTTGTATATAACTCTAGTAGTATAACTTACTGTGTACACATTTTTTTTCTAAATTAGTTGACGATTTTGTGACCACTAACTTGTCTTTTGTACATGAAAGTACTCGCTAAGTTCGTAACCTTTACTCCGTGAATATCGTACAGTCCACATACGGTAAATGTAAATTGTGGCCGCACATGCCCCCCGCCTCGAAGAGGTAACGCGGGCCCCGGTGGCGGTGTAGACGAGGCGGCGGCGGTCTTAGCACGAGTGTATGCGCGGCGGCAGGCTAGGGCTCACGTTGTGTTGGTTGGCGGCCAGCGGCACGCGCGGCGACCCGGTCGGGCTCCGCTGGCGGCGCCGCGCCGTCGCGCCCGAGTGCGGCTCCCCGCGGGCCCCGCGCGCCCCGCGCCCCCCGCGGGGCCCCGCCGCGCCGCGCCCCCCGCGCGCCCCGCGCCCCCGCACCCGCGACGCACACGTCATATGACGCGCGCCCGGCAGCCCGCGGCCGCCCCACCCCGCCCCCGCCCCCGCCCCCTCCCCCTCCATGCTCGCCCCCTGCGACCGCCTGTAATGCTGCGGAAATCGACATATACTATAAAAGTCTCTATGTAATACTTATTTTAGTATTTTGAATGGAATATTGTATACGCATTTACTTCCAATTGTAAACGTTACGGTACCCGAGCGTACCCGTATGGCCCTTGAGGTCGTGCCAGTAGGGCCTGTACTGATTTACTTAAAATTGTACGATACGAGATCTTGCAAGTTTGACGTCATTGATTATGTACAAGACACTTATAAAATTTTATTTAAAATACATTCTACATGTGTCGATCCCAATGAACGTACATTCTCAGCGACGTC